ATAGCATAAGGTATAATATCAACTTGAATTGTTAGTAATGTGGACTGATGATCTCATTGCTAGCAATGTACCAAGTCAGGTTGACTCCACGAGGTTCTCCCTGGAAACCATCGTGATAAATTCTTGGTGAATTCGTCATGATGGGCTAACTGACTGACTCCTGACCTTATGCTCATCTTATCATCCTCCACTGGTGCCAGCGTATACCGTTAGCGCAGACGGGTGCACCATTCCATTATCATCCATAAAAAAATTATATACCTAATAAATTTAGAATCCTACCTACTTATATTTAATATAAGAGCGTAATTTGGACATTCAACGATCATTGTAAAATCCATACAAACCCCACTACTGTGCTACAGTACGTCGATATCAAAATCACTCAAAAACGCATCCAAATCTTAGTCAAAATGTTATTATATATATATTATAAAATGCTACAGTATGGATATATGTAATTATATGAGATCGAGTATTGTACGATTATAGATATACGTTGGGACAAACATTGGACATACATTTTGGGGCTGGTCAAGTTTTTTTTTATACTACGATGGTCGCAATCGAGCGTACGGTCCATCAGATGGTAAATTACCGTAGCTTATGAACGCGTGAAACATCAGGGGTATCACGTGCGCGTTGCCTACACTTAAGAAACCTGAATGTACCTGTTTCTATGCAATGTATGGCGCTGGCGGGGATCGAGGTGAGGAGGCATCGGTGGTCGCAGTCACAAGTGGCTTCAAGAACGCGCGTCGTCACTCTCTTTATTCGATTAATTTATAAATTCATATTAGCAATACATTATATTTAAACCTACAGTCCGCTTTTATTGAAGATCCCTTAGGGTCTTATACAGTATCCTTCTTGAAAAACCCCATGCTGTCTCGTGGAAAAACCTCGGCAGGAAGTTCATTCCACAATCTAAGTGTATTATTATTATTAAGTATTACGTAAGCAGATATATTACAATTATTTACCCCCCCCCCCCCCCTCCCCTTGTCAGCAACAGTAAGCAAAGCTCTTATCCCCTCTCCCCATGCTTACGTATACATTTTTCAATTAATGTATTGTTTTTTAGCAAATCAATGTGAGGGTTGCCATTCGTGTAAAAAAGTAAATAACTACCGATGACGTAATCATCATCTAGACTCCCCCACCCCCTTGTCATCTAAAATAAACAAAGCAAAGATCCCTCCCATTGTGCGTACATAATACTTGAACAGCCCCATATACCTTGCTGGCTTTCTACCTGCGACATCGACTGCACAAACTCTTATACAGAAACATTTTTTTTTTCGGACTACTCTAATGCTGTTGGCCGCAGCTGGCCTTTACAGCTTCACCGGACGTTAGGGGCGAGTGCAGATGGCACTCCAAATCCGCGGAAGGACTTACATATGGAGCGGCTGAAGGCCAACTCCTGCCTGACGGATACGACTTTAGTCTGAGGGCACCACTAGGGGTTCGAACCTCGGCGCAGGCCGTCGTAATTTCGATCCCCGTTTGTTTTGGACGGGGGATCGATCGGAGGGGACCGTACAGAAATCTCTAACGAGGGTATTTGTAGTCTATATTACTTCGCTTACCTTCTAATGGTTGCGAGTTCGATTCCTCGCACGGTACAAACTTTTGTATTTATGACTATGATTGTTCATCGGTCTGGGTGTTTTCTATGTATATTGTGTAGATAATTATAAAAAATGTCTAGTACCCATAACACAAGCTCTGCTTAGTTTGGGACTAGATGGCGCTGTGTGAATTGTCGTAAAGTATTATTACTGCTTATAAAGTCTTACAAAATAAAAAATAGCTATAATATAACCTATGTTTGTTCTCCTAGTAGTCATTGTTTATTCTTAACAACCCAATAATAAATCTGATAGATAAATAAACATACACTTTTTGTATATAATTATTAGTAGGGATTATCTTCTGTTTATCCCAGTCCAATGTTTGTCCCAGTCGCAAATGTTTGGCGAGGCACAAGCGGTTGTAAATTGGTTTTGGACGTAACGTTATTATCAGAACGAGGTATAAAGTGAACCAGTGTTGATTAGGTTAGCCACACCATGTGTAAACGCTTCGTACTGGTGTATATCACAAGTGCATCCAGCGTGCCTACTACACCCACCACGGTGCGTTTGAATCGTCTCGCCGACCACTTATTATACCATTACTTATGTCATCATCATCATCATCATCACCGCAGCCCGGAAGACGTCCCCTGCTGGACATAGGCCTCCCCCAAAGATCTCCACGACGATCGGTCCTGCGCTGCTCACATCCAATGCCTTCCAGCGATCTTGACCAGATCGTCGGTCCACCTTGCTGGAGGCCTTCCCACTAAGTAAAATACATTACTTATGTATTTTTCTTTTTTTTTAATATCACATAGGTGGGAAATAAGCATACGGCCCATCTGATGATAAACGGTTACCGTAGCCTATGAAACACTAGGGATGTCACGTGCGCGTTGCCTGTGAAATATAGTTTGTTCCTATATCAAACAAACCCACATGTCTTTGGTCCTTCGAGCCGGATTCCTCCTAAACTAATTAAATTATGTATATAATTATGCGTATGTATATTGTCGCCATTTTAATATCAAATTTTAGTTCTAAATATAACATATAAATAATGTAATATCTTTTATCATAATCATAGTAATGAAATTTTATATGTTATTCTGAAAGTGATCGTAGTATGGTGTAGCTAACCTATTCGCCCGGTCGTATCCTAAATTCATCGCGGTAATGCAAGCATAAGCGGAAGTACAGTAACTGTATACCTATTATATTACTTAATAAAACATTACACAGTACATTAAAAACGGTAAGTGATATGAATAAGTTACGAGAATGGACAGCAGACTCGAGGGATGGTCCGTGTTGGCCATGGAAGACAAATCGCGTTGCACGCCGATATAAAAAAATGGCTGCTTAGTGGATTAAAAATTTTAAAACACACTTAAGTTACACTTAAGCCTATTTAACTTGAAAATTCAAATATAAAGAGTACAAGGAGTCAAATATAATACTAGAACATTAAAGATTATCGTGACTAGTTACCGTTACGGTAATGCGTACGCACGAATTCGTTGCGAGTGAACGTTCGTGTTCCCTCGGTTGATCCGTACATATCTTATCGAAATATTAATACACAATAATTCTTATATATACTGACACGATAGTAAGGTACAATTGCGTTTTTTTTATTATTATATAAACGTCAAAACGCAGTTATATCATACTAGTGATGTCAGATACAAAAGTGATTAAACTACAAGTACAAAAGTTGGTCAGAATATCGTCAGTGACTAACTCCTTCAGTGGTGAGAATTGAACTGACTCTATTAAAGTCGGCTACGAGTTCGAAGCCCGTTATACCGAGTTATTATATAGTTAAAAGTAATCCGTAATGCATTAAATAATAATTTCGATGAATTAAAAATTGATATGAAACTGGCCCGTGTCTACTCTGACTCGTGTATGCCGGACTCGTTGTCCTCGTCCTTGACGTCGAGGCGCGTCTTGAGGTCGTCGATGAGCGCGGGCGGCACCAGCTGGCACACCACCTCGGGCCCGTCGCCCGCCAGCAGCAGCCGCGTCCGGGACCGCCCGCCGGACGCGCCGGACGCCCCGGACGCGCCGGACGCGCCGGACGCGCCGGACGCGGGGGACGCTAGCGGCGCAGTCGGCTGCCGGCCGCGCCACTCCGCGATCTTGCCCTCGATGTCGAGCGTGCTGCGCTTCGAACCGCTGCCACGTGGACGGCCACGGTACAAGTTAAACGTTAGCCGCGACCCAAACTAGGTCTCCGCGACCACCAATTCAATGACAAGTGTGACCCGCAGTTAAAGTAACGTTAAAGAAAATAAAAAGAACGAAAATTAATTAAACAGAACGTAAAAGAACCCGCTGCGTCCATGCGGAGCCACGTGCACGCACACGCATCCGTGGCGGACCACTACAACTACACACTAAACACCACACCGTTCCACCTGTGTAAATTGTCTACTAATAAAAATTAAAAACCACATAGTAAAGTATATAACCCAACAGGAGATAAATCCAAAACCGAGTAAGCTGTATAACTCATGCGTGCATTGTAAACTCAGCTTTTACGCGTCGTCGAGTCTCGACGTGTACAGAGTGAATGTTTCAGTACGACAAATCAAATAAAAATGTGATAAATACTAAAGATATTGTTAACATAGATATAGATATCGATAATATAATATAAGTTTAATTACATGTACATTATATTAAATTTTTTTTCCGTTTGTTTTTTATATTGTGTATTGTATTTTTTACGTTGTTGAAAAACACTGAATAAAATATTTTTCTTTCTTTCTTCTTCAATATTACAAAACATTATTACAAATTATTAAACAATACAATATATTATATTATTTTGATACAATTATCGTATCTATATCTAACGGTCACGACTAGTGTTGCCAGGTGTCCCGATTTGCACGGAACGACCCGATTTTCAGGGGTCTGGGGACGCGTCCCGATTTGTCGGGACGTTAAATGTCTGATTAAGACTAGATTAGACAAGACTGATTACTTGTTATGTAACATTAAATACATATTTAATTTAGGTAATTAATATAATACTATACTTGTACTAGTAGTTTAAAACACAATCAATAGAACCCAGACTTAAAAACTCCTTGTTTTTTATTTACTGTCCCGATCTGCAACCCTAAATCACGATTTTTGTCCTCATGCACCGATTTAAAACAAATCGGACCTGGCAACACTACTCCAAACTTCACGTTTTTATACCCTAAATCCCGATTTTTAGACCAGAACAAATTGGATCTGGCAACACTAGTAACGACATTAAAACGAGCACTGGCTACAAACTTTCACTCTGTATTTATATGTTAAAGCTGAGCGTACATTATACATACATATACATAAGGAGGCGCATGCAGCATAGTAGCTAGGGTGGCTAGGCATCTAGGGTGTCCTAAGGGCACTTACTTGGCAAGGGGTACGTTATCGCGGTCCGCGTACGCGTCATACAAATATTCGCTGCAACAGACAACAGACGGTCATCACCATCGCGGGCACACACACACGCACACACACACTCCCGACATCTTATTTATCTTTATTTGATTGTTGGCAACACAAATGCACAAAACACATATTCGAGTTACAAACTTGTTATGTGTATATTTGTTAAGTTCGGCTAAAAAGGACGTGTATCCAGAGCCGTAAAGCATTTTAATAAAAAAAAACACATATTGTAACGACAGATTTAATTTTGTAACTGAGCAGTTGCGCCTTTTCATATTATTTAGGCAGAGTTAAAATATCTCAAACTAAACTCTATTGTTCACAAAAAACACATTTATTACATTTAGAAGGACAAAAATGTCATCAGTATGTAGACTTTTGTTAATATCATAAAAAGGCGAAACCGATCAGTTATGAACAGATTATAATCTGTGGAATAAATGTTTTGTGCGTTTATAACATTGTTAGTAATTTACAATAGCGTATTCTAAGTATTGTAGTCAAAGTATTTCAAATTCGGGAATGTGTTAAGAGGAGCGTCGAATTGAACATTAAAAAATGGACTTCATTTTGGTAGTTGCATATCTGTGGATAACAAAACGAGCTGTGGTCGTCACACGACAATATTCTGGGATATTTGAACATGTAGGATCCGAGTAAAAATACAGAACTGATATCAAGACCAAAGGGGACATAGATATACTATTTTTCTATTTACATTAAATATATAGAGGCAAATATGTACTACATAAATGAGGGACTTCTTACAAGTAATGAAACGATCCTGGTGATATAGAACAACCTAGTAAATCTGAAATGTAGGTGAAGTTTGATTACAATGAGAGATGGAGGTCGATGGATACAAAATGAAAAATAACAGAAACTTTACGAAGTCACTAACAGACATAGCAAATAAAATGATAATCTACAGTATTGGAGTTACATCGATCGGTACGCTGGTGTGGTACGCCGTCGAGTCGTAACAACGGCAAGCAATGTATGCGCTAGCGATGCATGCCTACCTACCTCCTAGTACTTGTAGCTATACAGGGTACAACATCGAATGGTACATCGAGCAATGATGCACCCGCTCGCCACCGTCACACTCCACAATATACAGTATACGATTTGCAGAACTATTTGTTATTGCAGTTTGACTCTTATTTCGACACAGCAAAGTAACAGTTTCGAATGCAGCGTGTGTGGTCACTTCCATTCATCATTAACTCAATTAAATTACAATTTATTATAATTAAATTGAGTTGATGATGAATTATAGATTAATAAGTATTAATGTGTATTTTCGCAAAATTATGACTTTATTTAAGAGTTAATTTTATTAATAATTATTTCTTTTACGACTAAATGTATTTACCAACTGATACGCTATTTTTTCAATTGCATTGCATTCCATAACAAACTGACGACATTGCAAAGTATTTTGCTGTATTGAATAAAAAGTCAAGCTTACATTAAATATATTTGAGAGTATTAAAGCATTACAATGGGACAAGTGAATGCAGTATGTTGAGTGACGGTAGTAGTTCCGGCGAGCGAGTGGTGCACAGAAGCGCCGACGTCGAAGAGCGCGACAGCGCCGTCCCCACACGATATCATTAAGTGTCAAAACTTTATTTTAAATAATACCAAGCGTAGTAAATTTATTGATATTAGTTATTTAGTATTTTTTATAAATTAATTCAAAACATACTATGGAGAAATACATTATTTTTTACGAATAAACGATAAATAACACTTTTAGGTATAATGGAAATATTATTTCATAAATTAATTGTGTTTTCGCACCAAACCGTGTGCAAAAACATTAACAAACCGTATTTGGTAATATTTGACCGTACAAATCCAGTGTTTAGTAGATGAAAAATTTTTAAAGAAATATTTCATTTTTAGTGAAACGTTCGAGCGTGTTCCGTAAAATTAGGAACCAAATCTTTTTCCAGAATTTAGGGCATTTCAAATTTTGAAGTGGCAACCCTAGCTATTGTCACAGAGCGTTACACATGATAAAGGTGGAGACGGAGCGTGGGCAAGACCCCGCGAGCCGCTGCGAGACGTCGCCGAGTGGTGAGTAGTGAGCGGTGAGCGGTGAGTAGTGAGTGGTGAGCGGTGAGTGGTGAGTGGTGACAGTTACCGGACGAGGCGTAGGGTCATCGCCACCACCCGCGCGCCGCGCACATCGGCTCATACTCGCTACTGCCAACAACACCCCACGTTACTCTCCACCCACACTTGCTACCCCACCCCCCTCGCCCGCACCCCCTCCACTCCCCGCGACGTACATTTGGAGTTTCTCAAATCATACAACATATTTCGGACTAATCCATTCATGGAGCGCTAGGCTCATTATTCTACCTAATTAATGACAATGAGTGACCCAACTGAAACATAAAAATCCAACAGAAAATTAAACTAATCATACCGCTCGCCGCTGTCCACTGTTTCTCTCTTTTTCTAGACCGATTTTCACAGATAAACAAAATTAAAAATAGTCACGATCCGATCGTTTAATCGATATTAACTCGGCACCGTTTATATATTTATTGTAATTGATTTTAAATTATATATTTATTATAAAAGCGTATTTTGTTACCCTTTCTATGTTTTTCATATTACAAATCGTATTTAAAACTTCAAAGGGTAGTATATACAACGTAGTTAGTTAAATTCATCACTCACTCGTTTACAACTCATCAATTGTTATCGTAATGTACAGTAAGGCGCAGCGCTATCTCTTCTATGTACCACTCGCTCGTGTCCAAAAACCCAACAAAATAATAAGTATGAATCGAACGAGGGAACGCTGCTCACGTCCTCTCGATGTGATCAGATACAAGGAAGGGCCAGGTCAGTTCTGGTGCATTCTGAAGTAGATATGCAAGGGGCAAACCCATTCGGAGGCAGCGGGATGAGTGTGCAACAAACCCAAATCAGACACATTGACAAACTCATACAAATCAAACTGAATGTTAACACAGCTCTCAAATAAAACAAATTAACAAAAGATAAAACAAAAGAAAATAAGAAATAAACACAACCGTTTGCAGATTTATATCTTATTATTTTTAGATGCAACTATTTTAACCCGTAAATTCGCATGTACGGTAGTATAACTAGAGTAAGTGACAAATTTGTTAATTAAATTGTCACTTTGGCACTTACTAGTAATATATTTATTAAAAATAATAAGTTCAAAATACACTGCAAACAATTTAGATATGAAAATGGTAGGTGAATGAATCTTAATTTATATAATATTGCGTCTGCGTCGCAACGAGCACGCATCTTCGTAACAGGCACGCATGTAAACGTAACAAACACGCATGTCTCCGTAAAGTTGGACTTATATTTGTCTGCTTTGTCGTGACGTCTCGTGTCGTAATGTGATGACTAGTTTTCACATTTATATGGCATGTTTTGTTGCCTCTGACGATTTGATTTGAAGTATCAATACAGCCGTAAGTCTAGGAAAGTGAAACTTCGACGCTTCACAATACAACACTGGCGCATGTACACATGTCTGGCGTGTCATGACGCCCCGGTCTCACACGCTCGTAATCAATCGACATCGTTTCTGATGAGACTCAACAGAATCCATCACAACACATTAGGCATTATTAGTATGAACGTAGACTGGTCCGACGCGTCATGTCACGACACATGGACAAATATGAATCCACCTTCATTGCGTCACAAGCACGCATGTCTCCGTAATATGTGCGACGCAGACGCAATCGCTACGTGCATCCCTAAAGTTACCACACAAATGACGGGTGGGTTCTGGTCTACTGAGATACAGGTCTCGTGTTCAGTTCCCAGTATCATACAGTTACAAATTGCTTACATTTTATATAAGACCTCTATATAACTGTAACTTTAATAAATAAAACAATATGTTTATAATATTTATTTTAAGTTTTTACTCAAGCAATGAAATCGTGATTCAGTTTGAATTTAATTGATCGAAAACAGTTTGTCTATTTCTACCTTTCAATTAAGACGTAGATAGAAATCAAGTCAAAATACAAATAGATAAAGTACCTAGTTCACCACGATGACGATAAAATACAAGTAAACCTGCCTTTTACTATTTTTTTTTACTTCCAAATACAACATTAGCTATTTCACCACTTAAGTAACTTCAGTCGAAGACATTGGTAACGAGTTGTGTTGCCATGTTCAATATTAAACACTGACAGATTAACAAGTGTTTATATGTACCCGCACCGGCTTCGCATGGTTAAACTATATTGTACTATACATAAAAACCTTCCTCTTGAATCACTGGTAAAAACTGTATTAAAATCCGTCACGTAGTTTAAAATATCCAAGCAAACAGATAGACAAAGCGACTCATTTATTAAGATAGTAAAACATAATTTTACTAACTTAATAAATCAAGTCGCTTACTCTGTCTTTTGAGTATTTGATTTAGGGATGCATGTAGCGTATATAATTGGTAATATTTCTAAGTGCCATATAAAAATAATTGAAGCTGAAATTATAAAGTGAACGTGTGTTCATAGTATTGTTATGTTAAAATTCAAATTCAAATTCAAAATATCTTTATTCATGTACGTCTATTACAGACTCTTATGATATATCAAATCTACCGTCAGTTCGGAATGATTTCGAGATGAGAAGAACTGACAAGAAACTCAGCTCGTATTTTTTTTAATGTTGTACATATTCTCAGTTCAATCATTTTTGTATGACAACATTTATGTAGAGTTGTGGATAGTTGTTTTGTACATATGTATATATTATATGTGAGTGTGTGTATCATCTTTCGTATGTAGTTTTTAAATGGATTTGTCAAGTTCACTGTATCACATTAGAGGAAGAATTAAAATTCTTTAACCCTTTCCACTCCAAGCCTTTTTTCTTTTTATTCCAATAGCTCTACGCTAAAATTGCATTTCTTAACTTTTAGGGGTTTTTTTCGTATTTTGTAAGTAAAATTGATTTTTTCTTATACGATAAACTTTATTTTATGAGTAATTACAGGATACTATACTATAATTCTTAATTATAATCCCTTTTGGTATTTTGGTAAAAAATTCCCACTTTTTTTTAAATTGTTCCCGAAAAGAAGTATTACACTATGTCGAGTATCATTCGGCAGTGGAGCTGGTGGAACAGTCAATATCGAGTGACACTCCACATTGGTTAGAAAGGGTTAACAGCAACTTTCTTTGTATTAAAACTTTCTAGAATTACCAAAATTACTTATGTCATTAGTATATATTCATTTCTGATGCAACATAATTGCTTTTTTAATTGACTAGACAGCATAATTACTTGAAAATTTCTACGGTATATTTGTGCTATTCTTTTATTGTAGTAAAATCATTCAGTAATATATATGTTACTGTATAATATTGATAATTAGTATGTATAACATGTACACATTGCTCAGAGCGTGTGGTTCGCGTAGCGAGTGTTTGTGTGTGTGTGTGTGTGTGCGTCCGTGTGTGTGTGTGTGTCCGCGTGTGTGTCCGCGTGCGTGTGCGTGCGAGTACTCACGCCTCCACTAGCGGGCCGGGGTAGGGGTCGAGGTGCGTGTAGAGCCGCGCCAGCCGCCGCGCCACCGCCAGCAGCGGCGCCGCCAGCACCACGCACCACGCCACAGACATCCAGTACCCGTTCTACGGACAAACACATTGGTACACACTTACCTATATCGCCCCCCCCCCCGCCCCTACCGGACTAACACGCGACACCGTCCTCGCCGACGGAGACGACGACCTCAACAACACCTAACATTTTCTAGGTTTACTGGAACAAATCTCTTTAGAGATAAGCTCGCTCTTGTACATTACATTTATTGTATTACTGTTTTTTCTATATGTATGTGTACAATAAAGGAAGAATAATAAACACTGTCCGTCAGCACTTAGACCTTCGGGACGACATCCAGTACCCGTTCTAGATATACACTAGTGGCTATATACTGCTTGCACCCGCCCCATCTGTAACACGCGACACCGTCCTCGCCGGCGGAGTCGACGACCTCAACAACACCACCCAAATGGTGGTCGTCCGTCAGCACATAGACACTGGAGAGCATACGTACGGTGGGCATGAGCAGGTTCCTGCAGACGGCGTCCCTGGTGGCGTTGAAGGCGGAGGAGAGCGGCCCGCAGCGCCCCACGTGGTGGTGAGCGGCGTGCTCCACCCGCGCCAGGTACTCGTCCACCAGCGCGCCCACAGTCTCCGCGAACTCACGCGTCATCTGCACCACCACCACCACCACACGTTACCAACATACATCCGATCACTTTTCAGTTCTCATATAATCAGCATCCGACAATTAAAAATCAACACCCTGTGATATTATTTCAATATTGTTGTAGCGACAATATTGTAACTTTTGCTCGATTTTTAATTTGGACTACAACCGTGAGTAAGAGAGTTAATTATTTTAGGAAGATTAACGGTGTATTTGTTTACATAATAATAATCTCAGGACAATTAACACAGCGCCATCTAGTCCCAAGTTAAGCTAGCTACAGCTTGTGTTATGGGTACTAGATAACTGATACGTATACATAGATATTTTTTTCATAAATACATATTCTCGCACGTTAAATTTCAATAAAAAACATAGAAATATATTATTTCTAATGCATAAGCTATATTACTTTCAAATATAATCAAAATCCGTTCAATAGTTTATGCGTGAAAGAGTAACAAACATCCATCTCACAAACTTTCGCATTTATAATATTATTACACGCCCCGGCTTCGCACGACTGTACATGTATTAAATATATAAACCTTCCTTTTGAATCGCTCTATCTATTAAATAAAACCGCTTCAAAATCCGTTGCGTAATTTTAAAGATTTAAGCATACATAGAGATGAACAGACAGCGACAGCGACTTTGTTTTATACTATGTAATGATGATTCAATTCAAAATATCTTTATTCACGTAGGTCTCTTATGATATAACAAATCTACCGTCAGTTCGGAATAATTTCGAGATTAGAACAACTGACAAGAAACTCAGCTCGTTTTCTTTTCAAATGAATGTTGTACATGTTTACAATAATACAGATTCATTATAAATTCTAATTTGGGAGAACAGAGTGACCAGCATATGCTATTGCAAAAAACAAAAAATCTAATCAGTGTACGCAACCTGAACAGACCAGTCCCCACAGGCAGCACCCGTTGACGAATATAATAATAATAATAAACTTTATTCATAAATGTACGGTACAATTAAATATAGTTAGCCCTGGCTTTCGATATAGGTGAACCAGTGCCACGAAAGCCAGTTCCCTCCAACATTCATTAAACATTTTTAGTACATTTGCAGTTATGTATATAAAGGAATGAAAAAAATTTAAATACTTTTGAATTACAATAAAAAAAAATTAAAGAGGAAAGAGTATGTCGGATTAAGATTAAGATATACCTTGCTTAGTTCACAAAAATCACTCCTATTATATACCGTTTTAAATTTGACGCTATCATTATTTATACGTATAATTAGTAAAAATCACGGGATCTTGCCATGTTTTATATTTATTTGCTGAGTTTCCGATATTTCGGTAGTGTTTCAACCACCATGATCACGGGTGAACTGAAGATACAGCGGGTAGATGGAAAATGAAATCTTTTTATGGGCAGACATATGCGTCTACCTTCACACGTGTTCGTTTGTTGCTACTACTGGAACTCGCTCGATATTCATCTCGGCAAACTGTACTCACAGTATCTTCACGTACATTTAATACACTTTTCGATCGCGGTTTTTATTTTTATTTAATTAAACGAATCACTGGTTTCCAGGCATTAGAGAGCCTATAGCCGTCTTCTCGATTGAAATTTTTATATTTCTGTATTTCAATGGCCTCTCTAACCATTCTTGGGATATAATGCCGTTCTGATGTTAATACTTTTGGTTGGTGTAGTTCAATCCAGTGATTGGGTCCCCATCCCAACAAGTGTTCCGCTATGGCTGATTTACGTGGATCGTTGTTTTTAATAGCTTTCATATGTTCAGCAATGCGACGGGCTATTGTTCTTTTTGTCTGTCCGATGTATGAGCTCCACAACTACGAAATATCGGGAACTCAGCAAATAAATATAAAACGTGGTAAGATCCCGTGATTTTTACTAATTATACGTATAAATCACTCCTATTACTTACATTAAGAAGAAAAATAATTACTACTCACGTTTTGCATTACATCAGGTCCTTGGGTGTTGAGGAACAGCTCCGCTTGCGTGGTCTCGTATATCAGGTATGAGATGGCTTCCTTCAGAGATGTGTGGTTGAACCGGAGTACATCGCGTAACTTCATGGCCGTGGTCTGTATTTTAAATCAGAATTAATTACATTTTTTTTATACTACTATGGTCGCTATAGGACACAGTCACCTTGTTCGGGTTGTACCGAAACTATAAAGATTGTGATAGGTAAAACTGATAAATGATAGTGATAGAAATTTGATTAAAACTGTATATTGAAACTTAAAATATAACTGATTAATGATTGTAACGAGTAGGCGCGGCGTCCTTGATGACCGAATGCGAACTGATTTTAATGAAATGTGAAATGTAAAATAAAATGTTAATGTTGCGAAATAATATACGATGCTAGCTCGTACACACCTAGATACATCAAAATAATAATTGCATTTAATAATGTCTAGTAAGACAAATTCAATATTGTCTACTAAGCACTGCTGTCTACACTGTGTCACCCCACCTTACATTTTCCTATTGTTATTTAGTATATAAGATCAATATTTCTATTGTCAGTTTATTATCATCTGTAATATACATAGTATCATTCACCCGCAACAGTCGCAATCAAGCATACGGCCCATCTGATGGTAAATGGTTACCGTAGCCTATGAACGCTTGAAACACCAGGGGTGTCACTTGCGCGTTGCCGACCCTTAAGAAACTTTAATATACCCTTCTTGAAAAACCCCATGCTGTAGTTTCGTGGGAAAACCTCGGCAGGAAGTTCATTCCACAATCTAAGTGTACGCGGGAGGAAACTCCTCTGAAACCGCACTGTTCGGGACCACATACATGTATTTATTGTATAAATAGTTCATAGGGCACATAGCTCGTAGGACAAATGGCCGTTGGGGCAGTAAAGTCCTCGAGTGGCGACCGCGGACTGGAAGATGTAGCGTGGGAAGGCCTCCAGCAAGGTGGATCGACGATCTGGTTAAGGTCGCTGGAAGGCATTGGATGCGAGCATCGCAGGACGGATCGTCGTGGAGATCTTTGGGGGAGGCCTATGTCCAGCAGTGGACGTTTTACGGGCTGCGTTGGTGATGATGATGATGATGATGATGATGATTGTATAAATAACTAGCTACTCGCTCCGGCTTCGCATGGATATACATGTAGTATATATATAAACCTTCTTCTTGAATCACTCTATCTATTAAAAAAAAACCGCTTCAAAATCCGTTGTGTAGTTTTAAAGATTTAAGTATACATTGGGTATGAATTTGCAGTTGTACGTGAAGTCAGTATGACAATCGTTCATGACTTGTTTGTACTCGAGTGTAAGGTATAAAGTTCGTGAGATCGTTTAATGGTAGTGGTGTTGTTGTTATTGTTATTGGTGGTGATGTTGTTGTTATTGGTGGTGGTGATATGGTTGTTGTTGGTGGTGGTGATATTGTTGTTGGTGGTGTTGCTGTTATTGTTAGTGGTGGTGGCGGGGGCGGGTACTGACGTTGAGCTGCGCGGTGTAGTCGAGCATGGGCCGCAGCACGTCGTCGTGCAGGTGGTGCAGGTCTGCGGCGGCGGCGGCCAGGTCGCGGGACACGTCCCGGTACCCGGCGCGCGCCGCCACGGCCGCCGCGGTGCTGCGCAGCTGCTCCGACAGCGCGTCCAGCGACAGCGACGTCATGTTCGTCTCCAGCTGCGGGGACCACACCACGCTCACACGCTACACCACGCCACACGACACACCGCCGTCTTTGAATTCAACTACCTAAGTATATATTCTCATAGAATATATACTTACGTAGAAGTCGTAGAAACTATGACTATATATGTTGATTTTTTTTATAAATGGCTAAATAATTTAGATACGTATTACGAAATACAGCATCTTAAAATTATTAATTCTACAAATGAAACAGTAAATTTTCATTTCAATGAAATTAATGGTAATTTTAAACATATATTGTGAAAATAAACGTATAATTATAAATTTCATATAATGCGTTTTAAACACCCATACATTATTTTCCAAGAACCCATAAAAATCGGTGATTAATATTAATTTTCGTTAAAATTACTCTATACTCGTTAAATAATTAACAGTGTTTAAAAATCACATAAAACTGGCAACATCGATAATATTAAATTGGTAAAGGGAAAATGATAACAATAAATATAAATTGACAACTCCATTGCAAGTATTATTTTACAAGTTAACCTGCATCAGATTCCTCCTGGAAATTATCATAATTAAATTCTTAGTAAATATATCCAGTTTAAATTAATTTAATATAATACAATATGGCCCGTTTAAAATAACTTAGGCTAGTTTATACTCCTCTCATCTTAGCATTCTTCGCTGGTATCTCGCCAGAGTAAATGAGTAGTGCAGATGATTGATATTATATTAATATTTATTTAAAAAAAGGACTACTCGGATTCATATTCTTAAAAATAAAATAATTCTTGTTTTTGGAGTCTATTCCTTAGAATATGCTACTTTTATTGATGCAACAATGAACAATATATAGTTTATTATTTAGTTGCAAGTGTAGTTTAGCCGAGCAGAATAAAGTGTGGGGTCACTGACCGCGGAGAGGATGCGGTCGAAGTCGAAGTCCGAGAGGCCGGTGTCGGCGAGCTGGCGCAGCTTCTGCTTGGCGCTGTCCTTGAGGATGGTGAGGGGGGCCGCAGCCGAGCAGAGTAAAGTGTGGGGTCACTGACCGCGGAGAGGATGCGGTCGAAGTCGAAGTCCGAGAGGCCGGTGTCGGCGAGCTGGCGCAGCTTCTGCTTGGCGCTGTCCTTGAGGATGGTGAGGGGGGCCGCAGCCGAGCAGAGTAAAGTGTGGGGTCACTGACCGCGGAGAGGATGCGGTCGAAGTCGAAGTCCGAGAGGCCGGTGTCGGCGAGCTGGCGCAGCTTCTGCTTGGCGCTGTCCTTGAGGATGGTGAGGGGGTCCGCAGCCGAGCAGAGTAAAGTGTGGGGTCACTGACCGCGGAGAGGATGCGGTCGAAGTCGAAGTCCGAGAGGCCGGTGTCGGCGAGCTGGCGCAGCTTCTGCTTGGCGCTGTCCTTGAGGATGGTGAGGGGGGCCGCAGCCGAGCAGAGTAAAGTGTGGGGTCACTGACCGCGGAGAGGATGCGGTCGAAGTCGAAGTCCGAGAGGCCGGTGTCGGCGAGCTGGCGCAGCTTCTGCTTGGCGCTGTCCTTGAGGATGGTGAGGGGGCCGCAGCCGAGCAGAGTAAAGTGTGGGGTCACTGACCGCGGAGAGGATGCGGTCGAAGTCGAAGTCCGAGAGGCCGGTGTCGGCGAGCTGGCGCAGCTTCTGCTTGGCGCTGTCCTTGAGGATGGTGAGGGGGGCCGCAGCCGAGCAGAGTAAAGTGTGGGGTCACTGACCGCGGAGAGGATGCGGTCGAAGTCGAAGTCCGAGAGGCCGGTGTCGGCGAGCTGGCGCAGCTTCTGCTTGGCGCTGTCCTTGAGGATGGTGAGGGGGGCCGCAGCCGAGCAGAGTAAAGTGTGGGGTCACTGACCGCGGAGAGGATGCGGTCGAAGTCGAAGTCCGAGAGGCCGGTGTCGGCGAGCTGGCGCAGCTTCTGCTTGGCGCTGTCCTTGAGGATGGTGAGGGGGGCCGCAGCCGAGCAGAGTAAAGTGTGGGGTCACTGACCGCGGAGAGGATGCGGTCGAAGTCGAAGTCCGAGAGGCCGGTGTCGGCGAGCTGGCGCAGCTTCTGCTTGGCGCTGTCCTTGAGGATGGTGAGGGGGGCCGCAGCCGAGCAGAGTAAAGTGTGGGGTCACTGACCGCGGAGAGGATGCGGTCGAAGTCGAAGTCTGAGAGGCCGGTGTCGGCGAGCTGGCGCAGCTTCTGCTTGGCGCTGTCCTTGAGGATGGTGAGGGGGGCCGCAGCCGAGCAGAGTAAAGTGTGGGGTCACTGACCGCGGAGAGGATGCGGTCGAAGTCGAAGTCCGAGAGGCCGGTGTCGGCGAGCTGGCGCAGCTTCTGCTTGGCGCTGTCCTTGAGGATGGTGAGGGGGGCCCCAGCCGAGCAGAGTAAAGTGTGGGGTCACTGACCGCGGAGAGGATGCGGTCGAAGTCGAAGTCCGAGAGGCCGGTGTCGGCGAGCTGGCGCAGCTTCTGCTTGGCGCTGTCCTTGAGGATGGTGAGGGGGGCCGCAGCCGAGCAGAGTAAAGTGTGGGGTCACTGACCGCGGAGAGGATGCGGTCGAAGTCGAAGTCCGAGAGGCCGGTGTCGGCGAGCTGGCGCAGCTTCTGCTTGGCGCTGTCCTTGAGGATGGTGAGGGGGGCCGCAGCCGAGCAGAGTAAAGTGTGGGGTCACTGACCGCGGAGAGGATGCGGTCGAAGTCGAAGTCCGAGAGGCCGGTGTCGGCGAGCTGGCGCAGCTTCTGCTTGGCGCTGTCCTTGAGGATGGTGAGGGGGGCCGCAGCCGAGCAGAGTAAAGTGTGGGGTCACTGACCGCGGAGAGGATGCGGTCGAAGTCGAAGTCCGAGAGGCCGGTGTCGGCGAGCTGGCGCAGCTTCTGCTTGGCGCTGTCCTTGAGGATGGTGAGGGGGGCCGCAGCCGAGCAGAGTAAAGTGTGGGGTCACTGACCGCGGAGAGGATGCGGTCGAAGTCGAAGTCCGAGAGGCCGGTGTCGGCGAGCTGGCGCAGCTTCTGCTTGGCGCTGTCCTTGAGGATGGTGAGGGGGGCGCGCGCCGCGGGGAACGCGGGCCGCAGCCCCGCCGCGCGCCGCCGCACCGCCTCCGCCGCCCGCGCCCGCCACGCGCCCGCGTCCACCGCGCGCCGCAGCTCCAGCGTCTGTACACACATACAACACACGCCTCACTACACACGACGCCCCCCCGCCCGCCACGCGCCCGCGTCCACCGCGCGCCGCAGCTCCAGCGTCTGTACACACATACAACACACGCCTCACTACACACGACGCCCCCCCGCCCGCCACGCGCCCGCGTCCACCGCGCGCCGCAGCTCCAGCGTCTGTACACACATACAACACACGCCTCACTACACACGACGCCCCCCCGCCCGCCACGCGCCCGCGTCCACCGCGCGCCGCAGCTCCAGCGTCTGTACACACATACAACACACGCCTCACTACACACGACGCCCCCCCGCCCGCCCCGCGCCCGCGTCCACCGCGCGCCGCAGCTCCAGCGTCTGTACACACATACAACACACGCCTCACTACACACGACGCCCCCCCGCCCGCCACGCGCCCGCGTCCACCGCGCGCCGCAGCTCCAGCGTCTGTACACACATACAACACACGCCTCACTACACACGACGCCCCCCGCCCGCCACGCGCCCGCGTCCACCGCGCGCCGCAGCTCCAGCGTCTGTACACACATACAACACACGCCTCACACTACACACGACGCCCCCCCGCCCGCCACGCGCCCGCGTCCACCGCGCGCCGCAGCTCCAGCGTCTGTACACACATACAACACACGCCTCACTACACACGACGCCCCCCGCCCGCCACGCGCCCGCGTCCACCGCGCGCCGCAGCTCCAGCGTCTGTACACACATACAACACACGCCTCACTACACACGACGCCCCCCCGCCCGCCACGCGCCCGCGTCCACCGCGCGCCGCAGCTCCAGCGTCTGTACACACATACAAAACACGCCTCACTACACACGACGCCCCCCGCCCGCCACGCGCCCGCGTCCACCGCGCGCCGCAGCTCCAGCGTCTGTACACACATACAACACACGCCTCACTACACACACGACGCCCCCCCGCCCGCCACGCGCCCGCGTCCACCGCGCGCCGCAGCTCCAGCGTCTGTACACACATACAACACACGCCTCACTACACACGACGCCCCCCCGCCCGCCACGCGCCCGCGGCCACCGCGCGCCGCCGCTCCAGCGTCTGTACACACATACAACACACGCCTCGCTACACACGACGCGCCCGCGCCGCCACTGCGGTCCCGCGTCCTTACTCGCCGCAGCTCCAGCGTCTGTACACACATACAACACACGCCTCACTACACACGACGCCCCCCGCCCGCCACGCGCCCGCGTCCACCGCGCGCCGCAGCTCCAGCGTCTGTACACACATACAACACACGCCTCACTACACACGACGCCCCCCCGCCCGCCACGCGCCCGCGTCCACCGCGCGCCGCAGCTCCAGCGTCTGTACACACATACAACACACGCCTCACTACACACGACGCCCCCCCGCCCGCCACGCGCCCGCGTCCACCGCGCGCCGCAGCTCCAGCGTCTGTACACACATACAACACACGCCTCACTACACACGACGCCCCCCGCCCGCCACGCGCCCGCGTCCACCGCGCGCCGCAGCTCCAGCGTCTGTACACACATACAACACACGCCTCACTACACACGACGCCCCCCCGCCCGGCCACGCGCCCGCGTCCACCGCGCGCCGCAGCTCCAGCGTCTGTACACACATACAACACACGCCTCACTACACACGACGCCCCCCCGCCCGCCACGCGCCCGCGTCCACCGCGCGCCGCAGCTCCAGCGTCTGTACACACATACAACACACGCCTCACTACACACGACGCCCCCCCGCCCGCCACGCGCCCGCGTCCACCGCGCGCCGCAGCTCCAGCGTCTGTACACACATACAACACACGCCTCACTACACACGACGCCCCCCCGCCCGCCACGCGCCCGCGTCCACCGCGCGCCGCAGCTCCAGCGTCTGTACACACATACAACACACGCCTCACTACACACGACGCCCCCCCGCCCGCCACGCGCCCGCGTCCACCGCGCGCCGCAGCTCCAGCGTCTGTACACACATACAACACACGCCTCACTACACACGCCCCCCCGCCCGCCACGCGCCCGCGTCCACCGCGCGCCGCAGCTCCAGCGTCTGTACACACATACAACACACGCCTCACTACACACGACGCCCCCCCGCCCGCCACGCGCCCGCGTCCACCGCGCGCCGCAGCTCCAGCGTCTGTACACACATACAACACACACGCTTCACTGCAAACGATGCCCGGTCTACCTGGTGCCGAATTACCTATATACCTATAACGGAAGCTCCACTGGAGACTAGACAGCGTATGATGCGCAATCAAAAAAAATAGTTTCATCCCAATTTAATAAAATCTCAACTCCTAAAATAAGGAGAAAAATATTTTTATCGTTGTTTACTCTCAGTGTGTAATAGATCTACAATTACACCTTCACTACCACTACTGTAAACGTTACCTCGAAGATGGTGAGATTGTTGTGGCAACGCGTGATGACGGTGGTCAGGTTGAAGCTACCGTCGGCGGAGTCGTTGTAGATGGCTCGCTCCAGCTCCACGAACCGCTCCACATCCGCGAATAGCCGATTGCCGCGCGGCTCCCTACACATTAATATTCTCATGTCACATAAGACAGATAACAAATTGGCGGAATGTGGGAACCGCATATGACAACGATGAAGTACAACAGACTTCGAATATAAATAAATAATATTTAAATTTTCGTTTATAATTTAAATTTAAGAGCTTTACTAAATACGTATGCAAGAATTAAGGTATATACATAAAGCAAAACGATCTAAAAATATCTCTCTGTCTGTTCTTAATAATCTCTGAAACGGCTCGAACGATTTTGGAGGGACTTTCACTCCAAAATATCATAAGAAGTAAATTAGGCCACTTTTATTTTGAGATATTTTTTATTTTAATAACAGTTACTTAAATTCTACGTAAACGAAGTCACGGGTAACAGCTAGTCTTTACTAATATTATTAACAGGCAAAGATTGCTAGATTGAATCTATGGGTCTATTGAACCGATTTTGAAAGTGTTAAATGCGTAACGTAATGTATTTGCATAGCCCATACGCAAGTAGTATAGATGTTAATAAGGGTAATAAAGATACAGCAATATATACTGACGTGAGTGGATCGCAGACGAAGCGCTGCGCGGTGACGCCGACCACGAAGTACACCAGCATCACCACCGTCACCACGCCGCCCAACACGAATATTATCACCATGCCGCTGTAACACCAACAAACACGTCATACACTAAGAAATAGGCAAACATATAATATGTATTCAAAATTCTAGAATTACACATATAAGTAATTCTTAACGTAATATAAAGTGCGCCGTGTGTAGTGTGCGGTGTACGTACCAGAGGAGGCAGTCGGACCGGCGTGTGTAGTGTGCGATGTACGTACCAGAGGAGGCAGTCGGACCGGCGTGTGTAGTGTGCGATGTACGTACCAGAGGAGGCAGTCGGACCCGCGTGTGTAGTGTGCGATGTACGTACCAGAGGAGGCAGTCGGACCGGCGTGTGTAGTGTGCGATGTACGTACCAGAGGAGGCAGTCGGACCGGCGTGTGTAGTGTGCGATGTACGTACCAGAGGAGGCAGTCGGACCCGCGTGTGTAGTGTGCGATGTACGTACCAGAGGAGGCAGTCGGACCCGCGTGTGTAGTGTGCGATGTACGTACCAGAGGAGGCAGTCGGACCCGCGTGTGTAGTGTGCGATGTACGTACCAGAGGAGGCAGTCGGACCGGCGTGTGTAGTGTGCGATGTACGTACCAGAGGAGGCAGTCGGACGCGCGTGTGTAGTGTGCGATGTACGTACCAGAGGAGGCAGTCGGACCCGCGTGTGTAGTGTGCGATGTACGTACCAGAGGAGGCAGTCGGACGCGCGTGTGTAGTGTGCGATGTACGTACCAGAGGAGGCAGTCGGACCCGCGTGTGTAGTGTGCGATGTACGTACCAGAGGAGGCAGTCGGACCCGCGTGTGTAGTGTGCGATGTACGTACCAGAGGAGGCAGTCGGACCCGCGTGTGTAGTGTGCGGTGTACGTACCAGAGGAGGCAGTCGGACCCGCGTGTGTAGTGTGCGATGTACGTACCAGAGGAGGCAGTCGGACCCGCGTGTGTAGTGTAGTGTGTAGTGTGCGATGTACGTACCAGAGGAGGCAGTTGGACCCTTGGCCCTTGTTGCAGCAGTCGGCGGCGCCGTATACGTCTGGCCGTTTGCCGCACACGCCGCACATCAGCCCCCACGCCATCACGCACGTTATCTGTAAACACAGTTATACACTTCGGTTGATTCGTCGTGGCTATGACGATGCTGTGAAGAATAATTATAATAATAATAATCTCAGGACAAATCACACAGCGCCATCTAGACCCAAGTTAAGCTAGCTACAGCTTGTGTTATGGGTCCTAGACAACTGATACAATTACATAGATTTTTTTTTCGTAAATACATATATATAATACATAGAAAATATCCAGACCGATACAAACAATCATACTCGTGAATACAAATGTTTGTGCCGTGCGAGAAATCGAACCCGCGACCATCGGTCGTAAAGCGGTGTGCTAGACCGCTAGACCATCGAGGTCGTCAATAAATGTATCTGCTGACGCTACAGAGCCGGTGTTACCCTTTAAAACTGTACGTAAATAGAACTGAACGAGTACTACTGGAGCGTGCTGTTACAGGATTTACACTGTAAAGCTAGATTTACACACATGTTTCATGATTTCACTATAATGACACGTCGTAATCAATATTTATAAAAACACATTGATTTACACGTGAAAGAAGTCATTCTCATATCATTCATCATTCTCGTATTATTCATAATCATCATCATTCTATGGGTCTGGATGTTCTCTGTTTTTTTTTCATATTAATTATGCATATTTTATAGGTAGAGGTGTGAAGCTTTGCATATAGTCGAAGTGTCGTGGCATTGCGTGTCTGTAAAGTGCGGATCTCGGATACTGACGAGCAGCAGCGCGGAGGCGGTCCCGAGCCCCACGTAGCGGCGGTAGGGCGCGTACCGCCGCACGGCGTCCTGCAGTATGACGGCGTCATGCTCGTGCAGCCGCAGGGTCTCGCTCACGTTGCCCGCGCGCCACGTGATCTGCGTCGCGAGCTCCGCCAACTTTACACCTGCGGCACAGTATAATTAACGTTACGTTACTATCGGTACTGTTTGCGACTTACTACATCCCTTTATGAGATACGACATTTACAAACGAACTTGTAAAGTAGTGTGGAATAGGTATAAACATTTACAATAAGATACCAAAAGATATACTGGAATTACGCTTAAATAAATTCAAAACATCTGTTAAATCATATTTACTGAGCAAAGCCTATACTCACTAAACGATTACTTGAACGACGAGCGTGCATGCCAATAGTTGTTTATGCAGAGAATTTCCTATATAAATATACATTGTAAATAAGGTAACTTTTAAAAAATTCAATTGAGCTTCTTGCCAGTTCTTCTCAATTGGATCTATATACTGATCTGGACGGTAGGGTAAAAAATTATAATATAAAAAAAATTTACGTTCATAAGCGGCTAAAATGTCCTACATGAATCATAAAAATCATGATTCATGTAGGACATTGCAGCCGCTTATCAACGTCAAATTTTTTATATTATAATTTTTACTTTTTGAATTTGTGTGTGTGTGTGTGTGTGTGTGTGTGTGTGTGTGTGTGTGTGTGTGCGTGCGTGGGGTCGGTACCAGTGTCAGTGACGGCCTGCTGCACGCCGGGGATGTGTTCGTCGACGGAGCGCTGTATGCCGCGCTGGATGTCGCGGAACACGCGGTACCCCTCCGCCACCTCCTCCTTGATGTGGCTGTTCAGCAGCGACGTCACGTTGTTCAGCAGCTCCGACACGTCCGGCATCTGGACGACACGTCCGGCATCTGATGACGACACCGTCATATTAAGTGTGTTATAAGAAGCCTTTTAAAAAGGAATAAGCTATATTCGTGAAGATTGTAATATAGATTCTGCTATGACGTATGCGCAGTCGAATTACACCAATATTAAATGATAAAGGTATATTGAAGATGTCTTATCGTAGAGAACTACATCTAGCAAGTCTTATACATAAAGTCGTATGGAACGAATATTTGTATATAAAATTACGTGGATGAAAGATATAGTCGGAACAATAGAAGCGACAAAATCGCATTGCGGCATAAAACTGTATTTTTTAGAGGAGGTTTCAGATTCTCTGCACTTGATTGTAAAATGTATATTTACTGGAAAAACAAATTTTAAGTAATTGAGAAAGTGAATAATAACATAACATACGTGTATCATAGTCTCATGGGTGCCATGCCCCTATTACATACTGTGATTATGAGCGGTGACACGGATTGGTTTTTCTTTTATTTTTTTTTATTTTTTTTTTTTTTATTTTGATACTGTTATTGTAACTGATTTCGGTTTTTGTGAACATTGAATATTGTAATTCATTCTATATATATTTATATTTGTGTATCCTAGATCTTATTTAATATATATTTTTTTTGTGTTTAAATTATATGTATCTGTATGTAGTAAAAAACCCGTTCTTTTATAGAAGGATATATCAACTGTATTCATTGTAAATTGTATTATTTGTGTTAATATATATCTACTTATATTTAAATTTAGCAGTTTGTATTCACGAAAAATTCTCAAAAATGTAATTCTGTGCAACATGCAAGTTTCTCGCTCATTCTTCTTGTAATGAGTCTGCGTTCCGAATGTGTGGTAGAATAAAAAAGAATAAATAATACTCTCAGAACATTTCACACAGCGCCATCTAGACCCAAATTAAGCTAGCTAAAGCTTGTGTTTTGGGTACTAGATAACTGTTGAATACATAGATATATTTATGTATCGTAAATACATACATAATATACATAAAAAACACCCAAACAGATACAAACAATCATACACATGAATACAAATGCTTGTGCCGTGCGAGGAATCGAACCCGCGACCACCGAGACCGAGGCCGAAAGATTACTTCTATTTCATATAAATATAAGAGACTTACCGTTGGAAAATATTTGTCGAGCATCTAATCCGAGTATGCGTGAAATCACAAGTGTAACAATAACAAAATTTTTAATTAAAAATTCTATCAATAGAATAATGTATAATCAAAAGTGCTTCAATGTAAGTTTATTTGAATAAATGATTTTCTATTCTATACCATCCGTTAAAAAAGCTACCCAATATTTGAGTAGAGTCATGCAATAATGAACCTTATTATTATAGCGACAAGAGCTACAAATACGCACCTGGCTGTACTGTATTTCAGTGTTCAATTCCCCGATGCGATGTTTCCGCTGCAGATTGATGCAGGGCGGCATCTCGCAGTGAGCCAGCGTCGTCAGCAGCTTCAGTTTCACCTTCCGAAGACCTGTACAGCATCACATTTATATATATAACTATCTGATCCAACAATCGATGTTTTGGCATATAAATTAAAATCCCTATTAAAAAATAGGGGTTGGTGATAGAAGGGTGAAAATTTAGGGTTGTATGTATTTTTAAATGTCATGTCGAAACAGCGAGCAATAGGAAATGGATGTATGAATTAGTATTGTCTTATATAGACAATCTTTATATATAAAAATTACGTGTCACGTTATTTGTCCGCGATGGACTCCTAAACTACTGAACCGATTGCAAATTTGATTTGCACATTGTGTGCAATTTGATACAACTTGAAAGATAGGATAGCTTACATCTCAATTTATAGTCGCAATATTATTTTATTCAAGAACCTTAGTCGCAGCAACGCGAGGCCGAGTCTGCTAGTCATTACATAGTATAAAATAAATCGCGGTCGCTGTCTGTCCGTCCCTATGTACGCTTAAATCTTTAAAACTACGCAATGGATTTTGAAGAGATTTTTTTAATAGATAGAGTGATTCAAGAGGAAGGTTTATATGTATAATACACACACCCATGCGAAGCCCGGGCGAGTAGCTAGTATACTATAAAAAAGAAAGTTAACACAGCAATGTAAGTCAGTGTGAGGGTGTTACCAGTGTTGAGCTGCTCGGCCTTGAACCGCAGCGTGGACGTGAGCTGTTGGACTTTTTGCAGGTCTGCCTGCACGCCGTCCAGCTGCTGCACCATCTTGTTGAGGGTGGTCACCGACACAGCGTTGGAGAACTCGCCCAGCTGCACCGACACCGCCATGCCCGCGCCTGACGCAACAAAACTAATTACTACACACTATCATATGAGTATTAATAAAAAAATATATAAAGTTAGCACACATAGTCGATTCATGTTTCTTTAATAGATTAAGAAAATAATTCTATTGAGTTTCTTGCCAGTTCTTCTCAATTGGATCTACGAGTATATACTGAACTGGACGGTAGGAAAAAAATTATAATATAAAAAATGGACGTTCATAAGCGGCTAAAAAGTCCTACATGTATAATTTTTTTTTAATTTTAATTTAAATTTATCTAAGGCATTCTGTATAAGCTGAAACAGAACGTCAGAGGGCGGACTCTATATAATCCTTGTGACTTTGACAAGTAGACTGATGTATGTATTGAACTGACGTAGCGAGAATTGAAGGTTGGAGCGATTATTATCAAATAAATGAGAGAAATTTAATTGTGGATATTATGAGAATTGGTGGTTTTATCCCGGATTTAGTTGGGACTGGGTGGATACCACAAGTGTTGATTGTGTTAAAACTACTTTCTGTTTGCCTTGGGAGAAGTGTAATTTTGTTTTTAAATTTAAATAAAACCACGTTGTGTCTTCACGGTTGTATTTTGGCGACTGATTGTAATATACAAACGGTGGCCGGCCGGAAGAAACATATCTATAACTACGGTCCGGTATAGACCAACCAACATTCTCGCAATTAAAGGATATTAGGAGCGATAATTTTTACCTCCTTAGGATAAAATGTAAACTTTCCAAAGGAGATATTTCGTTTACGTATGAGTGCTACATGTGGTTGTAGCACTCATACGTAAACGAAATGGATGTGTAGTGGCGTTTCCTCTTCAATTCTGTTTTCTCTGCATCAGATGTGAGTGAGTCCTGCGCTAGTATACCTGTGAGGAGTCCGTTCAGCTTCCGCTCGAGCTGTGCGTAGTTGACCACGAGCAGCGCCAGTGTACCTGTGAGGAGTCCGTTCAGCTTCCTCTCGAGCTGTGCGTAGTTGACCACGAGCAGCGCCAGTGTACCTGTGAGGAGTCCGTTCAGCTTCCGCTCGAGCTGTGCGTAGTTGACCACGAGCAGCGCCAGTGTACCTGTGAGGAGTCCGTTCAGCTTCCTCTCGAGCTGTGCGTAGTTGACCACGAGCAGCGCCAGTGTACCTGTGAGGAGTCCGTTCAGCTTCCTCTCGAGCTGTGCGTAGTTGACCACGAGCAGCGCCAGTGTACCTGTGAGGAGTCCGTTCAGCTTCCTCTCGAGCTGTGCGTAGTTGACCACGAGCAGCGCCAGTGTACCTGTGAGGAGTCCGTTCAGCTTCCTCTCGAGCTGTGCGTAGTTGACCACGAGCAGCGCCAGTGTACCTGTGAGGAGTCCGTTCAGCTTCCTCTCGAGCTGTGCGTAGTTGACCACGAGCAGCCAGTGCGCGTGGTGCTGCGTGGCGTTCATGTATGTCTGCGCGTCCCGCAGCCCCGCTCGCACCGCGCCGCCCACCTCCGCCGCGCTGGACTCCAGCTGGGACTCCGTGGCGAACGCGCACACCACGCCGAACCTGACCATCATCACACCGCATCGCATCACTTACTTTTATTTTTCACACTACTAGCTCTTACCCGGGGCTTCACTCTCATTGAATCCAATAAATAAGTATCGGAGATAATTACAATAGAAATGAATCAATATGATGAATACACTATTGCTTGTAACTTCATTGACTGCTAGATGGCGCTGAGGTAGCAGAAGGTTGATATTTTTTTTTTTTTATTTTTATAAAAAAAAATATCTTTTTTTTTAAATAAAACGTAACCTGTTGTTCCTGATGTTCATTATCTTAGTTCGTCAATGTATGAAAGTAGGTATGTTTGTTACGCTTTCACGCAAAAACTACTGAACCGATTATCATGAAATTTTGTACACATGTTCTTGGAGCTATTAGAATGGATAATACAGGATACACATTTTTATTAAAAAAACAAATATTTTTTATAATAAAAAAAATCAACATTTTGCTACTTCAGCGCTCTCTAGCAGCCAGTAATGAAGTTATGCGAGCGAAGTGGCGGGTAAAAGATTGTATTATAACAAACTTGAGTATTTACTATTCTAAAGTACTTACATTAATAATAATTTTCATTTATCGTATTTATTCTACCGTCAATTAGAACCTATCAGCCGAGAAGCAGAGTAATGTCACTACCAAATCTGATGACGTCATCAGTCATGATACTTAAGAAGCTACACAGATATACTTACAGGAAGAGTGTGAGCAGAGCTATGAGCAGGATGGCCAGTAAACCCTTAAGACACGCGTCGTACTTGCGGTCGAACGGCCGCCGCCGCCGCCCCGACCGGCACCAGTGGCAGCAACACCAGAACAAACTGAAACAACAATTTTTACAATTAAAAAATTTTAACAAACAATTACAATTTTTATCACATATAAAATTTTAATAGACTGCCTCGGTGGTGTAGCCGCTTAGCACACCGCCTTACTTCCGATGGTCGCGGGTTCGATTCCTCGCACGGCACAAACATTTGTATTCATGAGTATGATTGTTTGTATCGATCTGGGTGTTTTCTATGTAAAATATGTATGTATTTACAAAAAAATCTATGTATTTGTATCAGTTATCTAGTACCCATAACACAAGCTTTAGCTAGCTTAACTTGGGTCTAGATGGCGCTGTGTGAATTGTCCTGAGATTATTATTATTATTATTATATACAGAATCTAAAACTTATTATATAGACTATTTTGTAATAATATTAAATCAGCGAGACAGCAACTAAGTGAGCCCTTCTTTAAATAATTTTTTTTGATGAATTTTAAAAAAGCGCGAGCACTATGTAGGACGCAGTGCTACAGGTGCAGGTATCTGACAATAGCCCAAACAACCCAATAAAAAAAAATAACAATTAATTATTGAAGATCATGTATATGTATATATTTGTATAAATTCACTATTTGTTACTGTACTCTTGTTAATTAATTTCATATTCTCTGTTAACTTTATAATGTGTTGTTGACTTTATACGTAGTGATGTCAAAATTAACAGAATGAGTCTGTTGTTATTTGTGAAAGCCTGTCAGTTTATATTGATTCTATTTAAGTATAGTCAGCCTTGGTTTTCCTTTAATAAATAAATATTTTAACTAACGACTGGTGGCCAGTATGAGAGTCCTCTGCCACTATTCTTCCGAGTACTCGCAGGTGCTTGACTTTTTTTACAAAGGAAATATTAATTGAGTACAGACTCTGGCAGTTTGTTGGTAGAACCTTACGCAATTTCCATAAAACAAATTACTGACTAAATAACAATACCACTTCATGTCTATGATGAATAGATTTCTTCTGGTTCTTACGAGCGCTGCTTGTAGGGACTGGTCTGCTCTTATCACTACGACTGATTTAATCTTATTGTCTATATATTTGACCGTAATAAATTAGTGCTGGTTGGTAGTTTGTATTCACGTTTGGACTTGTAAAATGTGAACTTACAAGGATCATTTAAAAGAGTTTAAGAGAGTTAAAAGTTAAGTTAAAAGAACACACAAGTTTCTTGCTCGGTTGTCTTGTGATGAGACAGCTTTCCGAATGAACGGTAGATTAAAAAAAATGTGATGACTATTCAAAAGTGATTAAATTAAGTTTATTTGAATAAAGTATTTTCTATTCTATTCTGGGTAAGCACGTTCCTAGATCTCGTTTCATTTCCCACCAGTTGAGGCTAGATCAAAATTAAAAAAAAAAACAATGGTATCAACACTTACCCCGCGAGTGGTAGCGACACTGCGAACAGTGCAGCGACCACGATGACGGCGGTGGGCCCCGCGTAGTGCGCCAGCAGCGTCCGCCACTCATCTTTCACCGGCGCCAGCTCCAGATTACCGTCCGACACGTGCACAAAGCCTGCGAACAACAGCACACACGTGTCAATCAGTTACTACGACGTACATAAATATTATATATATATGACGACGTCGGTGGTCTAGTGGTTTAGCACACCGCTTTACTATCCGATGGTCGCGGGTTCGATTCCTCGCACGGCACAAATATTTGTATTCATGAATATGATTGTTTGTATCGGATATTATATGGATTTCTATTATTTTAATTCCGCTACAATTAACATGTGTGAGACCACAAACATTGAGTGTGGAAACTTGACTATCGTTACGACCTTCGGGCGTTGAGTTGTCGAATTATGTTGCGGTTTGGTACCCAAATAGTCAGCTTTAGGCTTCCAAGCTATATCCGAACTCTATTCAACACCTGATGATGCCTCGTCCAGAGGCGAAACACGACACGGTGTAGACTCCATAACGGTCGGAATTTGATCACCATTAGAGAAGGTCGTAACGGTAGTCAAGTTTCCACTCCGAATATTTGTGGTCTCACACATGCAAATTGTAGCGGAATTAAACAAAGCTTAAACAAACAAAAATTAGAACAAACTAGCTTGTATTATGGGCACTAGATAGCTGATACAAAAACATAGATATTTTTTCGTAAATACATATATATTATACACAGAAAACACATGGGCTAACTGACCTGAGCTCATACTTATCATCCTACACTGGTGCCTCGCCAGCGTAAACCGCTAGCGAAGACGGGTGCACCATTTCATTATCATCCATAAAAAAAATTTCATATTTATCAATGATAAGTTTACGATATCAACATATCAGTACTGACGTCACCATCAAATCTCGGTGAATGACATTCCACGGCAACGAGTTTACAATTTCGACAACTCACGTAAGCGGCTCGTTGGTCTAGGGGTATGATTTTCGCTTAGGGTGCGAGAGGTCCCGGGTTCAAATCCCGGACGAGCCCAATAAGTTTTTGCTTTTTTTTTTCTTTTATTTTATTGTTATTACTTTATTACAGTTTAAAACAAAAACATGGTTAACAGTTTTGTTGAGAATTTTTTTATAAATATTTTCTCCACAATACGTATATATGTACATATCTTTATACTTAAGTCTATATATCTTGTTAATTATAACCTTATAATCTTTTATTGAAATATATATGGCTATTGACTTGTAATCAATTATTATCTATACATATAAATAAAATTGCAGTGTCTGTTTGTAACATTGAAATAACCGTTTTTTTACTACATGCATATGAATATAAATACGGTACCTACACCAAAATAACATTTTCAAAAATTTTTGTCTATCTGTTTGTTCCGGCTAATCTCTGAAATAGCGGGACCGATTTTGACGGGACTTTTTTGGCAGGTAGCTGACGTAATAAGGAGTAACTTAGGCTACTTTTATTTTAGAAAAATAAACTTAAATTCCACGTAGACGAAGTCGCGGGAACAGCTAGTTATAAACATATCTTATAAATCGAAAACAACGACAACAAGTTTTTTAAATTATTAACCGGGTCTTAACTTAGTCAGCTCGTGACCACGGCTAGTGCAACCTAGTCGAAACGTCGAGAGAGGTAAATACCTTTATTTGCCATAAAATTATTCGTGTTAAGACCCGGTTAATAATTTAAATAATGTATATTAAACACGAAAGTTTAAAATTAACTAACGACAACAAGTATTAGAAAAAATAAATCTGGTAAGTTTGGCAATATTAACTTTAGTACATTAAAATATGTATTCTGGTAAGGTTAATATAAATTTTAGTAAATGTATTAAATTTAGAAAATCCGCGTGCCGACATAAAACATCCATTTTGCCACAAACCAACTGGAAATCTAATAATAGGTGCTATAAATAATTTTGTCAGTATCCTTTGAATAAAACAAAATGGGTAATGTGACTATCTGAATTATAAATGTAGCTATTTACCCAAAAGTATGTCATATATTATATTATTTTCTAACTGAATTTAACTTTATTTTTCTAAAATAAAAGTAGCCTAATTTACTCATTATATTACCTACTACTACCTGCCAATAAAAGTTCCGTCAAAATCAGTCCAGCCATTTCAGAGATTAGCCGGAACAAACAGACAGAGACAAAAACTGTATAAAATGTTATTTTGGTGTTAATTTAACTTTATTTTTCTAATATAAAAGTAACCTAAGTTACTCCTTATTACATCAGCTACCTGCCAAAAAAGTCCCATTAAAATCGGGCCAGCCATTCCAAAGATTAGCCGGAACAAACAGACCGACAGAGAGACAGACAAAAATTATAAAAAATGTTATTTTGGTGTATGTACCATTTATATTCATATGCATGTAGTAAAAAAGTTATTTCAATATTACAAACAGAAACACCAATTTCATTTATATGTATAGATGTATAGATTGCATGTTTTAATATTTAGATACATAACAAGTCATCCCCCGCACCCTTAAGTGGTAACGTAATTTATGACCCCCCTAAGTGGGTACGTAACTTGGGAACAATCAAATTTGACACCACAGCTACGACTACACTAGGAGGAAAGTGGATTGTTAGTAAGTGGGCTGTTGACACCATTACTAGCAATGTACCATGTCAGTTTGACCTCCACAGGGTTCCCCCTGGATACCATCATGATAAACTCTTGGAGAATTTCTCATGATGATCCCTAACTGATCTTACATGCTCATGTATCATCCTGCACTGGTGGGGCACCAGCGTAAATCGTTAGTGCAGGCGGGTGCACCATTCCATTATCATCCATACAAAAAAAAGTACAGGTTTGCAACCATACTTTGTAATAACGTATCCTAACTTTATTTTTGGTAATAAAACATTATACTTTTACAAATAAAGTATGCAAAAATACTTTATTTTCAACCTTTACTATGTTGCGTAAAACAAAATACTCATTATGGGTACTTAACGATTTGTAATTACTGAACGAAATGTTAAATGTCAATTGTGAGTTGCGACATTTGTCACAGCTCTAGTGTTTTTTTTCTTTCTTTCTTTCTTTCCACAGACATAAAATCCGTGCTCTTATTATATTAACCTTTTACATTTCTGTTTGACTTAAATAAATCAGTAAATCTACTTTGGTCAGGCCCCATATAACAATTTTATGGATGTCCATATATTAATATAAAAGAAAAATAATAATAAAGAAATTATTTAGCACACAAAAAAAACGTTTTTAAAGCTAAAAAACATGAAATTTTAAAATATCCTCATTTTTCCTATCCAAACCATATATATATATATATATTTGCGATTACGTTTTTATTTTTGTCAATAAATGTTGGCAACCCTAGCTACAGTAGGTAGCGACCGTGATCGCAAACATATATACACACACGGCCAGTAACGGGGCACCTCGAGCGTGGTTCCTGTACATCATGACCTCATCTTCGAGACACCATTGCTATTGACCTAACGCGAAACGAACTCAGTACATTTTCACCAGTTTTGTATCGAAATAAAATATTATCTTTTATAGTAATTGAAACTATTTCATATTTTAATATCTAAATATATATAACTCGAAGGTGACTGACTGCCATAGTGATCTATCAATGCACAGCCCAAACCACTGGACGGGCTGACCGAGCTATAACAATTTTTGTTTCGTTATATTAATATAAAAGAAAAATAATAATAAAGAAATTATTTCGTGCATCTTTACGTAAAAAACGTTTTTCAAGGCTAAAAAGATGTCAAAAAACGCTATGAAATTTTAAAATATACTTTGTTTTTTCCACACCGCCCATACTCGTATATTTTTTTTGCATCACTATCCAACATCATTTTTTGATAAGTGCCTGCCTGCCTCCTCTCTTCTGTGCTAGTGTGCGGTGTGTGTATATATATATTTGCGATTATAAATTTTAACTTTTTTGTCAATAAAATAATTAATTAATCACTTGCTACCTCACGGTCGCTCCCGACTAATCTCTTATATACACACACGGCCATTAACTATTTATGGACATTTTTGTACCAATATATTTGTGTTAATAATTGTCTACGTTAGCGTGTACATCAAAGACCTCGTTTTCGAGGTGATGAATTCTATGAAATAAATGAAACATTTTTATTTAATATTACACCGGTTTTGTATAAAATTATTTAATATATCCTATTTATTAAATAATATGACGTTTTATTTACGATTATTTTGTTTCTCAAATAATCTAGTTTATAGTAATTTATCATATTTTTAATTAATGCAATAAATATATCAAATACAATTTTGATAAGTGCCTGCCTGCCTCCTCTTTACTGCCCTGGTTTGCGCCGGAGATATGAAATTGGTCAACTGGACCAATGGACTTGGACTTGGACTGCTTTAGTATCCACCCATGCACATTGTTATACCAAACATTTTTTCATTCTGGACAGGGTGTTCTGCATCTTAAGCAAAGCAGACGAGTTAAAAAAATTGTTAAAGTATACTTCACAACCAAGACTCTAGTTGTTCAGACAGACAGAGTACATACTTCTGATTCACCTAAACCCATTTCTATATTAGTTTTCTTTCTTCTCATCTCGAAATCATTCCAAACTGACGGTAGATTTGACATCATAAGAGTCTGTAATAGACCTACATGAATAATGATATTTTGAATTTTGAATTAAAAACTAAGGTAACGAAGTCAAGGGCACCACACACTCATATCTGACCGTGTGAGATTATTATATGCATACATCCTCGGCAGATGACAATGGTAGTGTAATGCAACTGAGATCACTTACCTTCACATGGGACACAATGCAATGAGAATGTAAATAATAAGATCTAAGATTACATTAAGATGTATTTAGACTAAACTAGATACTCGCCCCGGCTTCGCACGGGTGTTCATGTATTATACATATAAAACTTCCTCTTGAATCACTCTATTTAAAAAAAGTCGCTTCAAAAAGCGAAGTCGGGGTGGGTCGATAATTACAGAATAAACTGTATGCGTTGGGAGAATAGAATAAGAATAGAAAATCATTTATTCAAATAAACTTACATTGAAGC